TAAGTTTTGCAGAGGTAACATTTTGATTTTCTTCACCCCACTTTGAATCTCAAAGCAGAAGTATAACGCCGCCCGGTATCACAACACTCACGGTGAATTTCTGTTTCTTGGTAAGTGTTGAGCTTAAGACAGTAAAAACTGCTGACTACGTCATTTGACGTATAAACTTCACATCATAGCTAATCTAAACGATTTATGTTACCGATGATAGATATCGTGTTATTTTCAGATTATTTAAATAAAATATTCTGATCTGACCTTCTGATTCTGTCCTGAATATCACAGACTATATTGTTTATTTTTAGTTAGAGAAACTAGGAGAGTATATAGCTTGGAGTTAATATCATTGGAGTGGGGGAATTCAGCCTGTTATTTCTCTGAGAAAAAAATTTGCTAGTCCTGTAGGTCCTCACTTAAAATTGTGGCTGTGTTCCTAAAAAGTCATGATTTTTTTTTTTTTAGCCACTTGAAATGAAACGTTGGTTCACTTATGTTAAAACTGTAGTTAGATGTTGTAGGACCTTTCTTACCAGAAAGAAACAAATATTAAAAATTTATACCCTAAATTACTACATTAGCCAATGAAATAGCTTTCAAAAAGAAATAAGGTTAAACATCTGAAAGTAAAACGTAACGTGCTGTTTACAGTTCCTCTTTCTTGCCAGTGATCCTGCTTCCCAAAACTCCTGCTCCCCGATGCCCCTGGTCATTGTAGACTTTCCCTCCTACTGGACCCTCCGAATTGTGGCCTTTTTCCCCTCCATGAATTGCAGCCTCGGATGCTACCATGCTCCCAAGGCTCATTCCCATTCATTATTGCCCATGAGAGGATGGGCAACAAAGGCCAGTCACAAGAGCTATGCTTGCACGCTGTGAACAAAATTTTTAAAAGAAACTAAATGACACAGGCATATTTTTCAGGGGAAACTAAACTACTTTGGAAAAGCATTATGAAGCTTTACAGATTTGCATAATGCTACGACCATGAGTCAGAACCTGCAAAATAACTTCTGGATATTTTTAGCTTTTAATTTCAAAATGTGTTTTTCAAAGATGACTGGTACAAAGTCAAAATGACTACAGATATGGAAGAATTCTGTGGACCAATGGGATGTAACACCTAAATGTGTCAAAGAAACCCCAAAAAGACCACGCTGTGATTTCTTATGACTACAAACTTAGTGACGGGCTGAAACCTCTGTTCAACAGCAAGCTAGCCCTTTGTCCCAAGCTGCAGACATATTGTGTGTGTTTTTTTTTCCCTATGACAACTGCACAACGACAACGGTTAAAAAGTGAGTTTCAGTTTTACTGGAGGGAGTGAATGTTCATGTGTGCTTCAGTCTGTGTTTGAGTGATAATGTATTGTGAAGGTCACGGTTGAAGAACTACACCCAAGTTATGCTTGTGTTGCTGGTGAAGACATTCTCCCATTCTGAGAGCTAGAAGTCAGCTAGCTAGCAGACCAACAACAGGAAGATCCTCTCTCACTGAGTACCGCAAACCAGTCGAAATAGGAATCGGGACAAAGCAGCATACAAAATGAAGAATCACAAAGCCAAAGATTCAATTAGCCACGGCAAAACTACCAGTAACAAAGCCACAAAGTTCAACTGCTCTTTGCAAGCAATTTAAAGACCGATTTGACATTTGGATATTTTAAATCAATCTACATGTTATGACACCCCACTGAAGCAGCTGCGACTTGAATCTGTGCCTTCTGGCCCAGAGGGAGGGACACTACCGCTGCACCACAAGAGCCCCTGATCGCTATATATGATTAATTGATTAATTGTTGTCACATGTACTAAGATACAATGAAAAGTGTAGTTTTGCATGCTAAATAGGCAGATCATATCATACAAAGTGCATCAGGGTAGCAGGACAGTGCAGAATAGAGTTATAGCCACAGAAAAGGTGCACAGAGAGATCATAATTAACATTTTAAGAGGTTTGTTCAAAAGTCTGATAAGGGAAGAAGCTGTTCTTAAATCTGTTTATTCAACGTGTATCCAACATATAAAAACCGATAGAACTGTGGATGCTGTAAATCAGGAACAAAAACAAAGTTGCTGGAAAAGCTCAGCAGGTCTGGCAGCATCTGTGCAGGAGAAAACGGTTAACGTTTTGGGTCCAGTGACCCTTCCTCAGACCTCAGAACTGGTTCCTTTAAAAACTTCAGTTCATTTGGATCAGGGAGAAAGGTAGCCACAAGGGCAAGATCTTTTTCTAACCTCCGAAAAGGTGGATAAATTAAGAAGGGGAGGCCAGTTCATTCCTCCTTGGCTGGGAGCTTAACACTTCTGGGTATCCCACCTGAAACTGTAATGAATTGGGAAACCTTACCTAGCATCTAGATATAACAATAACAATAACAATATTCTGATCAGGGAGGATGTGGCGTGTTTATGAAATGCAATATGTGGTGTTGGGTATAAAGTTGAATGCCCATCAATTACTTCAAGCTCTAATTCAGTGCCTTGTATCCAGAGGATTGAATAGCTTCACTGTATCTCCTCTGAACTAATTTAGTAGCCAGCATAATTCAGTTGAATTGAGATACCAAAAACAGCCACTAATTTTTTGAAATTATCGCCATTATTAGGTATAATCCTCCAGAATAAATTATTGATTTTTGCCTTGTCAACTTAGTTTTGGTGCAAGACAATTAAGCAATGCAAAACAATACAGCTGTGTATGCCCGTGTACCTGTGTGTATATCTATCAGAGGAGTCAGGATGGATAGGCTGTTTGCTCCTCAATACAGCTGAAGCTTGTAGAAAGTTTTTTAGCTTTGTCGAAGGAGAGTTCAACTTGATTGGGAGACAGCCATCAAGATGAAACATTAAGCAGGTCAATGTGCACATAGAGGACTGGAGAGGCAAATAGCATGAGAGTCAAGATCATTCAAAAATATAAAGGGACCAGTCAAAGGCAAAATGTGAAACAGGTCAAGATATGTTTTGGATTGATGCAGTGGGAGTGTCCTTACCCTTGACCGCGAGGCCCAACTTCAAGTTGCACCTGCTGCAGAGGTGTGTACTAACATCTCTGAACAGGTTGACTAGAAAAATAGGTTGAGTGTAAGTACATGTAGAATGGTAAATGAAGTTTTCTTTTCTGTTTCTTGTGAAATGATCTGTAACCAGTGAACATGAGTGCCTGAGGAAAGCTGTGACTCTTTAGGGACCAAAAATGATGTATTCTTACGGCAAGACACCAGATGATGAGGCTGAGGATGTAGATGAAGAAGTAAACGAATGATTTCCATCTGTTTTCACCAGAAATCAATGCTGCAAACGTGGTAGTAAAGAATGAGAGAGTAATTATACTGGACAGGATAAAAATAAAGAAGAGGTCCTTAAAAGGTTGGCAATCCTCAAAAGAGAAATGTAACCTGATCTGGATGGAATGCATTCCAAGTTATTGAGAAAAGGGTGGAAATTCTGAGGGTCTTTCCACACACTTTCAGTTCCATTTTAAGTATGGAGATTATTCCAGAGAATTGAAAATTGCACCCTGTTCAGAGAAGATGAGCAGAATAAATTTGGTAATCGGAGGCCAATGGCCCTATTATCTGTGGAAGATTTTGGAAACTACAGGAAAAAAATTAATTGGTATTTGAAAAGTTGTGGACTAATAAATGAAAACACAGATTTGTTCAAGGCTGGCTATGTTTGATTAAGTTTAATCAAATTCATAAATGAAATAATGACTAAAGTAACGTGGTTTTTTTTTTAATATGAACTTTCAAATAGTATTGTCAAAAGTACTAAAAAATCAATTTGTTATAAGATTTAATGTGACATTGGCAATATGGATACAAAATGGCTAGGGAGCAGAGAACAGAGTAATAATGGCTAATTGTTTCTCAGGCTGCAGGCCCTATAAATAGGTATTCTCCAAAGGTCGGTATGAGAAGCACTGTTCTTTTTAGTATTTATTAATGACCTGCAAGTTGTAGTGCTTGGTAGCCTGGTTGAGCAAAGCGATCCTTTAACTGGTCTGCATTTTTCTTTCCTGTTGAGAGCTGTTATCTGTCTGATTATGTCTGTCGGAGTTGTTTTTGGAATTCTGATAAGTCAGGCTGTAAAACACCATATTATCATAGCATAACAGCCATTTTTCTGTGGTTAACTTTTAATTATCATTCCACAGCATGGTGGCTCAGTGGTTAGCACTGCTGCCTCACAGCACCAGGGACCCAGGTCCAATTCCACTCTTGGGCGACTGTCCGTGTGGAGTTTGCAAATTTTCCCCGTGTCTGTGTGGGTTTCCTCTGGGTGCTCCAGTTTCTTCCCACAGTCCAAAAATGTGCAGGCTAAGTGGAAAAATGCCCATAGTGTTGAGGGGTGTGTCAGTTAGGTGGGTTACAGGGGGATGGGTCTGGGTGGGATGCTGTGTGTCGGTGTGGACTTGTGGGGCCGAAGGGCCTGTTTCCACACTGTAGGGATTCTATGATTCATTTATAGGTTTAATTGTGAGAATTTCTTTCGACTTTTGCAAGTTAAGGATGACTTTGCTTTGATCATGCTGAACACTTAGCAAAAATATAACCCACGCTCCAACCTTGTTAAATGTGGATGTTTCTAGCTCTTGACTCTAATTTGGACCAACTATGAAAAGACCCTTTGTTTTCATAGTAAAATGATTTTTACCTCTTTCTCCCCCATGCACAGCAGGTTTGTTGCAAACACCACTTTAATATATCTCTTGGCATTAAGGCATTTTCCTGCATATTTGACTTGATATTGGGCAATAATGATAAATTCTTGAGTATAAGAGATGTGCATTTTGCTTATGGGAGAAGCTGATGATGTTGAATCTGAGAGAAAATCTCATGCAGACATGAAACCTCTGAACAGGAGCTATGATAAGTCAAAGGACATAATGTCACAGGATAGCCACTGTATAAGATTGTAGCTTAACATAGTCCAAACCATTTATTAGTCTTTAGACCATAATGAGTTTGGAAATAATGTAACTTTTTGTGTTTCTAGGTGAGTTTTCAACTCTAAATTGGAATGGAGAAGATAGAGACAAGTAATGGCAATGAAGCTAATCACAACACAGCAACTCTTGTACTGCACCGGGCAAAGATGCCAGCCAGCGTCATCATCTCTACGGTTCTGTTCATTGCAGAAGCTGTAGCTGGTGGCTTTCTGTGTGCAGTGTACAGTCATTGGGGTGATTCATATTGGTTAGGACTAACTATCTCCTTCATGTTAGTACCATCTGTACTGGTACAGTTTACGTTGATCTTAATCCATCGTGAACTGGGCATGAACAGGCCTTTCATATTGCTGCTTCATCTTCTGCAGATGGGACCCATCATCAGGTTAGCAATGAGTGCAACTCATATAACGTTCATTATCAGTCAAAGCAAATAAAATATAATGTTTGCAACTTGTTAGTAGCACTATTAAAATATTTTGGCAAGATTTTGTGCTTATCAGCACTCTTAACAATTGTTTCGACCATGTGGTCAGTCTTGACTTCAAAAAGGTAAATCCCATTACATTTTTATAATTTTCCGTTTCCCTTGACATATCAAGGGTAGTTTTTTTGTGTGATGTATTTACACACATCAAGATTGATGAAACTTGAAACTACGCTTGAAACAAGTTGCACCTTAAAAGTCCTCAAAGTTTCATCCCACTTGTCTAGATAGAGTTGAAACACAAGCCCAAGTGGTGACAATAGTTGGGTAACATAATTTGCTAGTCAGTTTGAACTGGAACTTAATTTAGACCATGTTAGAATAGAAGCTGCAGAAATTTGAAAAATATGACCTATCATTTGGGATGTAAACCACCAGGTACTGGAAATTTACTAACCATTAGTCCCAATATTTTATTAATTACAATTTAGAGTCATAGAAAAATGCAGCACGGAAACAGACCCTTCAGTCCAACTTGTCCACACTTACCAGATATTCTATATAAATCTAGTCCCATTTGCCAGCATTTGGCCCAAATCCCCCTCAACCCTTCCTATTCATAAACCCATTCAGATGCCTTTTAAATGTAATTGTACCCTCCTCCACCTCCTCTGGCAGCTCATTCCATACATGCACCACATTCTGAGAGAAAAATGTTGCTCCTTAGGTCAGTTTTGTGTTGTTCCCCTCTCACCTTAAACCTATGCCCTCTAGTTTTGGACTCCCCAGCCCTGGGGAAAAGACCTTGTATATTTACCCTATCCAAAGCCCTCCTGATTTTATAAACCTTTATAAGGTCACCCCTCAGCCTCCAATGCTCCAGGAAAAATAGCCCCAGCCTATTCAGCCTCTTATAGCTCAAACCCTACAGCCCTAGCAACATCCTGATAAATCTTTTCTGAATCCTTTTCTAGTTTCGCGATCCCTTTCCTAAAGGAGGGAGACCAGAATTGCAGGCAGTACTTCAAACATGGCCTAACCAATGTCCTGTACAGTTACAACATGACCTCTCGACTCCTATACTCAATGCACTGTCCAAAAAAGGCAAGCATACCAAACTCTGCCTTTACTATCCTATTTACCTGTGACTCTACTTTTAAGGAACTATGAACCTGCACACCAAGGTTTCTTTGTTCAGCAACACTCCCCAGGACTTTACCATTAAGTGTATGAGACCTGCCCTGATTTGCCTTGACAAAATGCAGCACCTGACATTTATCTAAATTAAACTCTGTCAGTCACTCCCTGGCCCATTGGCCCATCTGATCAAGGTCTGATTGTACTCTGAGGTAACCACCTTCACTGTTCACTGCACCTCCAATTTTGGTGTCATCTGCCAACTTACTAACAATACCTTCCTTGCATACGAAATTCATCAAGTTCCTCCACTGGAGTTAATTTGGGTTGCCTTATTCTGGTAATCCTTTTCCTCTACTGTGAAAATTGATACTAAGTATCATTTCTCTGATTGGACCCATATTCCCCTTTACCATGTTTTTATCTTTTAATATTAAAACATTTCTTATTTGCATTGGTATTCATGATTTCCTTTTGTCATATTACCTTTTTGCCTCCTTGTTACTTATTTTCTATGCCTTTGCTGTTTCTTTTTTGATCATTGCGCCATCTTCCAAAAGATCTGTTCCTAAAATAAATTTCCCAATGGATGCTCAGCTACTGCACTATGGCCACAAAACTAAGGAGGCTCCAAGTTTTTTGGAATTTGCTGGTCATTTGGTGTCTTACATGTATAATGCCATTAGACTAGTGAAGATGTAAATCAACCAGCATTTCTGCTCTAGATCACTATCCCTTAACTGCTGTGGAAAATGTACGTGAAATTTGGAGGATTTGAAATGCTTTTTATGTCATCTCTGAAGAACCTTGGATTTATTTTAATATCCTGCCAACGTTTGCATATGGCGATTCAATTTTGGTTGAGGTAATAAATGGGTGCAACAATGGTTCATGCATTCAAGTTTTGGAAATAAGTTGCAAATTATAATCTACAAAATGCTTTTGTTAAAATCTATTCTTAATTGTCAAATGCTTGTAGTTGCCACTTTTTTGAGGCATAATTTTTTTTGGTCTTGTCATGTACTAGTTGCATTTACGTACATGTTTTCTCATCTGTTAGACTCTAGGTGTTACATTTTCTTTATTGAATTTTCTTACAACTCATTCACCTAAATTCTGTTTTAATACCCTTCCTCAAAAAAGGATAAGAAATTTCTTTATGTGGAGAATTCTCCAACCTGAATCAGTGGTAGATACCTTATTCTTAATAGTAGCTTCTAAAAGAGAAATGGATAAATTTTTGTGGCGGGGGGAGCAGTGAGTGGAATGGGGGAATCGGGAAGGGCAGAGGAATGGAACTGTAAATAGTGCATTTACGGAGCTAGCACTGGTTTCTTGGGCCAAATTCCTCCCTGTTTAATAACTTGACTTGCACCAAATCCTAACTATGACTTAGTCAGCTTAGTTGCACACAGCTTTCATTGTCCATCTTTTCCTAAATCTGTCTTTGCTCTGTCATTTGGAATTGAAGATCTTGCTATATTCTCTTTCAGAGCTTCTTATTGGATTTGACTGAACAACTTTAAACGGCATGAAGTTACTTGACAGTGTTATTAGGTAGAGCGTTCTACTCATGTTGACCTTTTATCTGGGCGCATTAAATACATTCAATCAATTGCCATGGAACTATTGTTTTTTTTAATTAAAAACAAGTGTTAATTATCAAGAATAATATTACATTTGTAAACTTATGAATTTTAAAAGTCACAACATATTTCCCATTTGAAATTGATCCTATTACATTAAAATAATCGTTTTGTAACATTTCAATTGCTTCTTGGTCACCAGCATCCCTTTACTTCCTACCACCAGCTATCTCCCTAGACATGATCCATCCAAAGGAGAAATCATACAAGCAATGTCTTTTTTATGACACACAATTTTTGACAGTAACCGTCCAGTTAATTCATCCAAAACTTAGTAATGCCATTGGAAGAAGCAGAAGTGTTGAAAGTGATAGAAACTAGACCCAGACCAAAGTGGAATTAGTGAAAGTGTTACATTGTTAGGCTTAAAATAATTTGATTATGCCAAAGTTATTCCAAATGTTATCTTTCATCCCTAAAGGATCAGACTGTTCATCTAGATGCATGATATCTGAACGTGCTACCCTCTAGTGTTGAACATAAATCTTTGCTGTAAAAGGATACAGCAGATACTAGTCTCTTGTGATTTCTGATTTCAGAAAGTGTAAACATAAATATCGTATTGGGCTTTGACTTACCTATAAGCAGCACTCTAACTGATGAATGAAATTTAAAATATCATTTCCACAATCATTCGTACCACCTGAAGGGTCAGAAAATGTTTACTGAATGCCAAAGGTATCCATATGAAGGTGCAGCTTTTCATAGATTTACATTTTAACCAGTTTAACAAGTGTAAAACTGAAATTCCTTTGTACTTACTGTAAGTATTACAATGAAATTAGGTCCTAATCTTAAACAAAATCCCAAAGGAAACAAGGTGAAACTCTGACCTCCAGGTATTAACAGAATTCTGTGGCTGCGTTAATGTGCAGTTGCCTTACTAGACAATATACAGAAAATACTGGAGAAATTAAGTTAAAGTTTCAGGTCAATGGTCTTTCATCAGACTTTAGATTTCCACAATTCACAGTATCACTGCTTTTGTTTTCATTATTTTGCTGGGCTTTTTCAGCACAATAGTTCAAGGTATTAAAATTAAGAGGAGGCATTTGGCCTTCCTTAGACCTCAAAGACACCAACAGTGACATGCACATCTGTACAGCCTTTACTATGGTAAAATTTTCAAAAGTCCTTCATCGAAGCATTATCAAACAAAGGTTAACACCACATTAGAGTGAATGACCAAAGGATTAGTAAAAGAAGGAGGTTTTGAAGAGTTTAGAGAGGGAATTCCAGAGCTTAAGGGCTTGGCAGCGGAAGGCAAGATTGGCAGTGGTTATTTGGTGAAACAAGTAAAATCAAGAATGCTAAAGAAGATGGAATTGTATGAACACAAAGGATTGGAAAGCCTTGGGTAAGATTACAATCTCATAGGACTGAAGGGACTGATAAAACCATTCAACAACTAGAGTGATTCCCTCCTTCTCAAACAAAAGTCAAATGTGATGGTTTACCCTCTTTACACCCACTTCTTACCACTCTTAGCACCGACAACCATGTCTTCCATTTGCATTATGCCTTGTTTAAACTGAGGATAGGCAGTGGAGTAATGGTGGTTCTGGGAATGGATTTATATTCTGAAGTTAAGACTTATTAGCATTCAAAATCAAAAGCATTTATGAAGAATTTTCACAAAGGAAGTTAAATAGTTTGTTCAGCTCACGATGGGCTAGATAATATATCTATGGGGGGGGAAAAAAGTCTTTCTTCATTCTGTTGCTGATTATTTTCTTTTGAATGAATGCAGGTAATCCCTCCTCCGTGATCTTTCATTAAAGCTCAGATTGGACTCTTGCATTTTTGAAAAACATTCTGTCTCTGTTTTTGTCAGGTGTGTGGAAGCTATAATTGTGTTCTGCAAGTCTGGGAAACATGAAGAGCCTTATGTCAGTATTACCCGGAAGAAAAGACTCCATCATGGCCAATCAAATGAATTTGAGAAAGAAGTGGGCCATTCAACAAGAAAGTTGACTATCCATCGTAATGCATTTCAGCGGGCGTCAGTAATTCAAGCCTTTATGGGCTCCACCCCACAGCTCACCCTCCAGCTGTATATAAGTATAGTGGAAAAATACATTCCACCAGCACGAGGTAATGTGTTTGCTCTTGCTGTCTAATGTCTAAACAGGGACTCTATAGCGCTTCTAATGATATTGCCTGCCAAATCCTGGAGAAAACAACTGTGTAGATTTTGCGAAATTGTTTGAAAATACCAAGCAAGAGTACTCACTGATCTAATTTACCTTGACTGTTTATAAGTATAACAATCATAATCACCTCCATGGAAAATTTGCTTCATTGTATTATATCTTTTATACTCCCTGCCATGTATTTGCCCATTCATGCAACTTGTCCAAATCACACTGAAGACTTTCTGCATTGTCCTCGCAGTTTGCCCTTTACACCCCAGTGATGAGTTTTCTGCAACCTCAACTTTCACCATCTGTTGTGTTGAGACTTGAACCCATGTTCTCAGAGCGTTGGCTTGGGCATCTGGATTACTGGCCTAATGACATTATCACTGCAACCCCCAACATTTGCTCCTAAACATTAGCATTATAATTGTCAAGTCGTGGCATGAGTCTCCAAGATAAATTTAGCAATGCTTAGTTTTTGTTCTTTTTCAAGACTATGTCGTTTTGAAGAAATGCATTACCAAAATTAGATCAACCTCTTTTTTTTTTCTTACTTTATGCACTACACTTCGAAACCAGTTGTAGCTGAAGTCTGAGGCCTTGAGCTGATGTTCCTAATTTTCGAGATGCTTTCTCATTTCATCACTGTGACATTTCTCCAGATTTCTGCTGACCTCAAAGTTGTGATGCTCCTGGCCTCTACTTGGTGTAATCTGAGCCAGGAATATGCCATATAAGCAATTCCGTGTTCTTTATTTGTTCATGGGTTGTGGACTTTATTGTAAAATCTTATTGCCCTTGAACTGAGTGGCTTGGGAAGCCATTTCAGAGAACATTTGAGAGCCAACTATGTTGCTGTGGATCTGGAGTCACATGTCGGCCAGATGAAATCTGGGTGGCAGATTTCCTTCCCTAAAATGTCAAAACTGGAAACCTTGTCTTTTCCATCTCTTGAGTTCTGTCACTCATTTACAGCGGTTCAAATGCATAGCGAGTTAGGGTATTGAGGTAAATTGTTGAGTCCCTTTTGTGTAGCTATTCCTAACTGGGATCAGTTACTAGAACACAGTGCATGACCTTGGGACTTTTTTATTCTGTATGACTTGTACTAACATTTTTAGCCAGCAATTAATTATCACTAGACTTTCTAGACTTAGTTTTTGATATGTATCCACTGAGTCATGTCTCTTTTTGTTCAGTTGCTCTCATGGTGATGTCATTGCTGTCAGTGACCTATGGAGCCCTGGTGTGTAACATTCTCTCCATCCAGATCAAGTATGATGACTACAAGATTCAGCTGAGACCAGCTGCTTACGTATGCATCATCCTGTGGCGCAGCTTGGAAATTGCTACACGAGTTACTGTGTTGGTGCTGTTCAGCACAGTGTTGAAGCAGTGGATCTTCGCTGTGGTCTCAATTGACTTTCTGGTCTGCTTTTTCCTTCCGTGGGTGGAATTCTGGTATAACCGCTCACCATTCCCTGAAAACATTGAAAAGAACTACAAACGGTTTGGTACAGCTGTTGTACTGTTGCTTGTTACCATTCTCTATGCTGGAATTAATGTGTTCTGCTGGTCAGCAGTCCAGCTTCTGCTCAGTAATCGTGACTTGATTAGCAAGAATCAGAACTGGGTTAGGTTGTCTGTCTACTATATATTGCGGTTTGTTGAAAATGCAGTACTTCTAATTATTTGGTACTTTTTCAAAACAGAAGTTTATGAATACTTCTGCTCCCCCCTGCTGGTAGTTCAGCTAATTATTTGCTACAGCCTAGCCATCATCTTCATGCTCCTCTTCTATCAGTACTGCCATCCGTGTAGGTTGCTTTTCACACACAACATTGCAGACTGTCTCCAGTGCTCCTGTTGGAAGGGACCTCGTTTTGAGTCTACAGTTGAGGATCCATAATCAGCTATGTTACAACAAGAGATAGCTGCAGTGAAAACATGTGATTTTGTTGTTTTTTCACACATCACCCTTCCCGTAGGTATTTAAAGGTTTAGCAAGCTGGTGAATTTCACAGGAGCATGAATAATGAAATGTGTAGAGACCAGTGTGACCTTGGAGATCAAAGCATTCTACTGCTGTAATCTGGAACAGTACCTGGAATGTTGCCTTCTACATGTACTCATCACAAGAAGGTAAAGCTGATTTGTGGCTTTCTTTTATGTGAAAACTGGCAGCCAAAGGAGTTGCAATATTTCTGGGATAGTCATTCTCCAGAAAGCCCTAGCCAACAGATGCTTCCATTAACGACAAAAATACCTTGGATCTGGTTGACATTTTGGAATATCAAAGCTGGATCCATGTCAGACAAAGATATTTGTATTTAATTAATGTTTGTTTGTTTGTTTATTCTGCATTGAGTTTTTCTTCACCTCTGAGTGCACTTTTTTGATTTCTGTGTGGTAGCCTCATAATTAGCTTTAAAATGTGATTCACTGGAATGTATGTTACTTTTCTTAAAGGCTCAAAGTTATTTAAATTAATGTGAATTTGTGATTTATGGTGGTAAAGGTGGTTTATGTTTTCATTTATTGTCAAATTTTCTTCATTCACTTTCCACAAATTCTGTCTTCCTTTCTTAGATACAGACTGCTTTTGCATTCTGATTTATATGGGTATTATCGTGCTTCTTTCATCCATTCAAGGGATGTGGACCTCTCTGGCAAGGCAATCATTTATTGCCCATCCCGAATTGCTGGTTATTTGGTGCCTTAAACGAATAATGTCATTACACTAGTGAAGATGTAAATCAACCAGTATTTCTGTTCTAGTTCACTATCCCTTAACTGCTGTGGAAAAATGCACACAAAATTTGGAGGATTTGAAATGCTTGTTATGGCATCTCTGAAGAACCTTGGGATTTTTTTTAACATCCTGCCAAGGTTTGCATATGGTGATTCAATTTTGGTTGAGGTAGTAAATAGGTGCAACAATGTTCATGCATTCAAGTTTTGGAAATAATTTGTAAATTATTATCTACAAAATGCTTTTGTTGAAAACTATTCTTAATTGTCAAATGCTTGTAGTTGCCATGCTTTCTGAAGCATAATTTTTTTTTTTTTTGTCGTGTCATACGTAATTGCAACTAGTACATGTTTTCTCATCTGTTAAACTCCAGGTGTTACATTTTCTTATTGAATTTTCTTACAGCTCATTCACCCAAATTCTGTTTTAATTGTTTTAATACCCTTACTCGAGAGGATAACAAAATTCTTTATGCGGAGAATTCTCCAACCTGAACCAGTGGTAGATATCTTATTCTTAATAGTGGCTTCTAAAAGAGAAATGGATAAATTTTTGGGGTGGGGGTGAGGTGTGGTTGAGAGGGCAGTTAAGAGTCAATCCCATTGCTGTGGGTCTGGAATCACATGTAGGCCAGACCAGGGAAGGATGGCAAATCTCCTTCCCTAAAAGGCATTAGTGAACCTGGTGGGTTTATCCAACAATTAGCAATGGTTTCATGGTCATCATTAGACTCTTAATTCCAGTTTTTGATTTTTTTTTATTGAATTCAAATTCCACCATCTGCTGAGGCAGGATTTGAACTCGGGTGCCCAGTAAATTACCTGGGTCTCTGGATTAACAGTCCAATGATAATACCGCTAAGGCTGTCACCTCTATGACTACTTTATCTAATCACAACATTATGTATAGTTATGTTTGTGAAGTTGTTTTGCAAAGAACATCACATTTGGCCTAAATCTTTCTTTTACTAAATGCATAATTTCCAGCAAGAGTCTGCAGATATTACCATACATGTGTTTGAAAAATCTAGTTGAGATCTATTGTTCTAGTTTGTTCACAAATTCATTTTGTTTTTCATCTTCCCATTCTGCATAGGCCTTGGTCAATTTCTTGCCAGCAGGAGAGACAATTTCATCATTCTGAAGTTTTAATTTATACTCGAGAATGCTGTATACTATCAGGATTGCAGTGGAGCCATTTGGTATTAAAGCATGATTTTCTCTTGTTTTGTCATACTGGCAGTACTTCAAGTTATCTGGTTTTTCATACCTTGTACTTCCTGTGCATGTTTATTTCAAATGGCCTTGCCTCCTTTCCAACTACCATTAATCCTTTTGGGATCAGTTTGATAACCAATGCTCTTTAAAAGTTTAAACTTTTGATTCTGCAGACAACAATTTTTTTTTAGTTGAAAGATTAATATCCATAGCAGGGTTACAGCAAGTCACAGATTTTTGTATGTCACGTGATTTCCATTAAATATATTCCCTTCCAACAGCTACACTAGCTTGCCTGAAATAACTGGAGATGGCAACATCTTATTTCTAGCTCAACAGAAAATCAAAACCTTTAATAGGTAATTTGAGCACAACATACGTGATCGTAAGAATATGTCTACTCATGCACCTATCACCCATCAAGCCTGTTCAACCATTTAATACAGTTCCAGCTGATGTTAGGCTTCAACTCCCACCTCCTTGCCTGCTTCCCATATCCTGTGATCAGAAATATATCTATCCTGATCTTGAATGCATTCAATAATAGATCACAGAACCTGCTTGAATAGAGAATCCCATAGATTCATAAACTTCTAAGTGAATTACTCCTCATCTTAATCCTGAATGATTGGCCCTTATCTTAAAATCATGCCCCATATTTTAGAATCCCACATTGTGCAAACAATCTGTGTCCACCCAGTCAAGCCCCTTTAGAATCTGGGTGGGATTTTTTTGGATGGCTGGTGCAGACTCGATGGGCCGAATGGCCTGCTTTCACAGTGTATGGATTTTGGAAGCAAAACTTGTATGATTTCCTGTACTCTCATCAATTCCAACTGTTAAAACATTCAAAGCTATCAATTTATCACAAGATCTGCCTTCTGCTACAACTTTTTCTGAAAAGACATGATGTAGTACTGCAAATAATGAATGCTTACCTTTTCAATCAGTCGGCTATGTCAAGCTCTCATCTATGGCCAAAATAACTTTCAATTATATTTATCATCCAACTAGGTAGCTCCCACTTTGGAAACGTGAAGTAAATCACGGAAATGACAGGAATCCACATTAATCCCCGGTTCCTTTGCTTTATCCAGGCAAGAAAATATTCAACGTACAAGTAAGATACTGCGTTTCAACATGTATAGCACTGTGCATTCCTAACTGAAATAACAAGCAAAATAAAATGCATCAATAAATATAAAATAATAAATATAATAAATATAAAACAATAGTATAGCCCCTTGCCATAAGTGTTCCAAAAATACACCATTTTGTGCATAATTCTTAGATTTATCAGGCTCGATCTAGTAGCAGAAATTATTGGTGCAGGGAATTTGATGCGTTTTAGCGCCACTTGCACTGACCAACATTTGCCACCAGGTGGAGCCCTTCAAAGTGAGTTCAGTGTGGCAACCAGGATAAAGGAATGGCTTTTGGTGTGGCTAATTCTAATGATCGACCTCAGGAAGCTTGAGTACAGGTTTTTGTTCATTTTTATTTAAATGTACTCCGCGAGGGAGGTCAATCCAGACCAGGTGGAATGCAAACTCTGATGCAGGAACTTCATCATGTTATACATCTCTAATCGCATTCACAAATTTCAACCTTGTCTGTTCTTAATGATTCAATAAACAATGTCTCCAGTCCTAGGTACAAATCTTGATCCATCCAGGCAGGGATGACTAATTTTGACCTAGTCTGGTACTGTTTGCTTCAATCCTTATCTATTCTCTCCCCCTCCCCACTCAGTCTCATAAACCATTAATCCTTTGGTTCTTGAGGTTTTGTAGGGAAGGATGATGCTGTTCTATATATGGTATATAAAATTTATCTGGCAGTGTCTGCTGTCTTTTACTGTGAACAAAGAAATCCCTATCTAATCCTTTATAGTTTACTCTTTCACTTCAATGATGAAGGAAGTTGCCCATGATAGGAACAGCAGAAACAAGGTAAGATCAAGACAAAATCAGAGGGAGATATCATCAGATAGGAGCAAGGCTAGTGTGGCTGAGGAAGCAGTGTTTAGGCAATGCCTGAGGCTTGTGAGAGGCAACAATGTTTGAAAACTGGAAATTCCAATATAAAATAAAAAATATCCTGAATACACTAGAAAATCAACACCTAGCAAACCCAACAAGAAAGGAGGTGGTTAGGATTTGGTTTTAAAGAAGGAAGCTTGGAACGGATCCCTGGTGGAAAGCAGGATGTTATTTATAGGATACTAATGGAAAAGGACAAAGATAGAGTAAGAATTAAGTTCTCAATTTCAGAAAGTTAATTTTACAAACTGAGAATAGATTGAGCTAGAGATAGTAGGAACTGCAGATGCTGGAGAATCCGAGACAACAAGGTGCAGGGCTGGATGAACACAGCAGGCCAAGCAGCATCATAGGAGCAGAGAGGCTGACGTTTCGGGCCTAGACCCTTCATCTGATGAAGGGTCTAGGCCTGAAACGTCAGCCT